CGCCAAGAGCAACACTGCAAGGAGGAAGGAGAAATCCGACGCGCGGTGGTCGGCGTTGATGACGACCAGCACCGTCAAGCTCGACCTACTCCGGACCAACGTCGCCGCAAAGAAGAGGAACACCAACCTGGCGTTCTTGATGGGGGCGGACGTGTCGATGATGGACGCGCAAGTCAAGGCGTGGTACCTGGCGGAGCTCGGCCTCATCTTGAACCAGATGCCTTCGACCACCTCGCCTACGTCCACGCCGACCCCAACGCCGACCCCAACACCGATGCCTACGCCCACCCCGACGCCGACGCCCACCCCGAGTGATGAAGCTGCGTCAACGCCCAGCATAGAAGCCACCCCGACGCCGACCAGCCCGAGCACAGATGCCACGCCGACGCCAGCCAGTATCACGCTGAAGGAGCCCGTCGTTTGATGCACTCCTTTGTCTACGCTCCTTCCTTTTGAACACCGAACTTTCATGTCTATTTGATCGCCGAACTGTGGCATGGTGATCGCCGAATTTTGTGGCAGGTCATCTTTTGATCGCCGAACTTGAGGCGCTTTTTTGATAGTGGGAAAGACAAGTTTGAAATTATGTGCGTCTTGGGGCCGAAACCTGGGGCCGCGGCTGGGAACTGGATCGCCCCCAGGGCGAAAAACCCGCCTGCGCATGGGCGAAAACGCAATCGCCAGGTGCGTTGGAGGGCCGAACGAGTGGATATGTTCTTAGATATAAACATGTCGTAGGCTAGAGCAAAGCTTATGACATCTTCTCCTTCTTGATTTCTGATGCCATAGCCAAAGTGCCTATGCACCCCTTCAAAATCTGTGTTAGATGTACCCCCGTGGCCATTGAGGTCTCCTCTTATGAAGAGTTTCTCGCCAATCGATACACTCCTAACCATGTCTTCCAGGTTTTCTCAGAACTCCCTCTTGGTGTTCTCACTGTGGCCTACTTGCGGGGCATACGCGCTGATAATATTGAGAACTAAGTCCCCAACTACCAGCTTGACCAGGATAATCTGGTCCACACGTCTCTTGACGTCTACCACTCCATACTTGAGGCTCTTGTTGATCAAGATGCCTACGCCATTTCTATTTGCAGCTGTCCCCGTGTACCACAGCTTGAAGCCGGTATCCTCCACCTCCTTCGCCTTTTGTCCCCTCCATTTAGTTTCTTGGACGCAAATGATATCAACACCTCTCCTCACCGCTGCATCAACTAGCTCCCGAAGCTTCCCTGTTAGAGACCCTACGATGCAGCTACCTAAGCGAATCCTCCTAGGCTCGGCTAGCTTCCTTACCCTTCGCACTCGTCGATTCAAATGCGAAGACCCTTGCTCATTTTCCACTACATCTGGGCACCGATGTAGCGCGTCGCTAAGGATGCGACGATCCGATCCTCGCTCACTTGCCACCATATGTGAATCAAGATATGGCGCGCCACCGGGGGGTGACGGCCCGGCCTTTGCCCATTTGACACCACACCCGGGTTCCGATGTGGCGCGTCGCTGAGAGGGTTACGCCCCAACGAAAATCTTTTGAATACATGGTGGATATTTTATTCAAAAATAGGATGGACACGTTTTTTATATTTCATTATTTATTTTTAAAAATGCTATCAACAAAATTCTGAACGTTATTTTTTTAGAAGCCATGAACATATTTTTTGAATGGTACAAATATTTTACAAATGTCATGGTTTTTTAATATGTGATTAAAAGTTTGTTAACTACACTATATACATTTTTTAGTACATGATATCATTTTTAGTACACGGTAAGTACTTTTAAATTAGATTTTTTGAATACACTTTTAGTACATAATATATTCGCATTTAAAAAATATGCATACTTTAGAAACATGTGTACACATTTTTAAAGTACATATGCATACTTTAAAAACATGTGTACAAATTTTTAAAGCACATAAAGTTTGAGAAAAGGTACTCATGTACATCTAACATATATTCGCATTTAAAAAATATGTACATTTAATCTTGCATTTTATGTGAAATACAGTAGAGAGAAAAACGAAACATCAAAGTGAAATACGAAGGAAAAGAATATCCTGAACGGCCCCTACGGAGCCTGCCCATGTGGTGGCGCTCTGCAGGCGAGCGCTTCCTTCTTCAGCTCGCAGCAGGCGTGAAATAGCAGCGCCCTGTACCGACTTCCGGTGAAGCCAGAGAAGAGAAGCAAACACGACTACACAAGTACACAACACCCCTCAAAAAACAAAAAGAAACACATGACAACACTACACTACACCGGCCGGTCGCTAAAAAAGGGAAGAAACAAAAAGGTGACTGTGCACGTACACCGCCGCTGTTTGTACACTCAGCATGGCGCATGCATGAAGCTCAAAAAAGAAAAAAAAACTACCAGGTCTGTTTTTTCCCACCTCTGTTTCTAACAAGGTTTGATGATGGCCTACTGCACACTCAGTGCGGTGCTCACATCACCTTCATGTAAATGATTCTGGTCATTCGGGTCTCGGCCCGTTTTGAATGTACTCCCTCCGTTCGGAATTACTCATCCAAAAAATAAATGTATCTAGATGTATTTTAGTTGTAGATACATCCATTTTTATTCATTTTTGTGACAAGTAATTCCGACCGGAGGGAGTACAAGGTAGAGATTTATCTAACCCTTTGTTCCAAAATATAAAAACGTTTTTGACACTAAACTATTATGGGAAGGAGGGAGTACCATTATATATATAAAAAAACCGGTCCATGCATGCAAGCCATTCAGCACTTCACCGATGGACCACTAGCTCGGATCCACAGATCTCATTAGGGTACACGCACATTTAATCTTGCAACCTACACAGCACGCTTTTAACCTGTTCATGGATGCACGATCGATCGACCGACCATGAATGATGCATGTGACACAGGCAGGGCAGAGACCAACCGGACTACTGTTCCGAGTGTCCGTACTCGAATCCGTAGTACCGCATACTTGCTCGATTTAAAACTGTAGGGATATGAGCAAATGTTGGGCTACCTTCGTACTCCCTCGGTTTCAAAATAAATGACCCAATTTTATACTAAAATTAATACAAACTTGGGTCATCTATTTTGAAACGTAGGGAGGCTTCCCCTGAGCAATGCTACACGGTGGGTTTTAGGGATTCAACCGACTGTGATTATGTGCCAGTTTTTGATTCGAGGTTAGAAGGGAGGCAGGGCCCAACCCGTGCCACGTTTGCTCTTTGGGGCGGAATCGGTGAGCGTGATGCAGTGTCCAACCGTGGTGAAAATCCCAATCCGAGGATACAGTGATGGTATCTATAGGCGTCACTCATCTTTTTGAAGGCATCGTCTCAAGGTTCGGGCACAATATCTACCTTGGATTCCTTCTCCAGGAGTAACGGATGAGCTGGCGTCGGTGGTTCATGCGACATTTTTTTCAGAGTTTCAGATGCGCACCTCTGCATCAAAGTCGGACAATTTTTTATTTTTTTGGGCGGGTATCTGTGTCCAGCTATGCCTTTACCTTTACGTGAAAACTTGAACTGGGACTTGGTCGTTGAGATTCACTAGCTCAGTTCATGTTACAACTTAAATTGGGGACTTGGCTATCCAGTGGCGGCTCCAGTAATTTGCAACCGGGTATTCATGTGTGTTCATTTTGCTAAAATTATTGTTGTTTTTCAAAAATTGTCACTGTTTTGCGAAAATCAACACTGTTTTGTAAAAATCATTGGTATTCACATGAAGACCAAAAAATACCCCTAGCGCCGCCCCTGTGGCTGTTGAGTCAAATGCATCACTTCACGTGATGGAGTTGGCCGTTGGCGTCCCTTCCTCCTGTGGGTTATGAAATGTGCCGTTTCTTCATAGAGCGAAGTGGCGCAAGGCGGTGTTTTCATGAAGACGTTTTGTTCTTCTTTTCTTTTTTTTTACTCTTTGTTTCGGTGTGTGCGTGGATTTTGTACATTCTCGATGTATCATCTTCATGTTGTTGTGGATGTGAGGTCTGTTTATTTGTACCAAGGCTATATGCTTTGATCAAATTGCTGATTCCACCAAAAGTTGAAGATGGGAACAAAAAGATGTAAGCAGATCTACCAATACTCGACACCCTAGTACGTGCACCTACCAAAACGTCATATATTTTGAAACAGAGGCAATAACTATCAGCGGTACATACCATACGCACACTATGTACGTGCTTTGCATATTTTTCTTTGAATTGTTTGGATTGCTTATCACATGTGTCATGTAGTACGTGCGTGCGTGCTTTGCATCTGATTGAGTGCACACGCACCGGACCCGCCTGAATGGCTGATCAAGATTAATGTGGTTGGTATGTCGACGCACATGCACCATACCTGCCTGCGCGTGCACGGTACACCGGCTTAATTGGTTTTTGTCTTTACAGTCAGCACCACGCAGCAGTGAAACACGGAACAGTTCACGGCCAGATCGATCTCGCCCCACCTACACGTACGTGCATTCAATTTCTGAACCTAAGCTCATCATTCCACTCATCGCTGTTGTCGATCGATCGATCAATGCATTGCATGTGCATGTGCAGCAGCAGGCAGGGACCAAGAGATCAATGGAATTTTTGTTCAAGATCATGTCTCCATACCACCGTACTCCGTCCGTAGTACTCTTGCGTACTGCTGCCTCCTTTCTTCCACACCAATTTACTTTCAGCTTTATTTTACGTGAAAATGGTTTTACGTTTGATTAACTTGTTAGAAAAGACTATCAACAACTCAGTACTACACAAAGACTTATTTTAGGAACGGAGGGTGTACCTAATAAGGACATTATGAGATTTTTTTTGGATAGATATATAGTGACAATGATACTGATTTGTTAGTGTGGAAGTTAATCTTCTCTCAACTAGCTTGATCAAACTTAAAATAGCTTGACTTGAGACACGACTAAAAAACGGCCTTGCATAGATGAATGGAGAAGTATTACTTATACTTATCAAGCGTGGCAATGTTACATACTTGCGCACAATTGGACATCCATAATGCATGGATCAGTTGCATGTCGACGAGCTCTTGTACCCCTCAAGTCTGAGCTTACCGCCGTACTGCTCGGGCAGCTGAGACACATCGATGGCGTCGCGGAGCGTGGCGTCGAGGTCCTTGTCAGCTACGAAAACGAACTTCTTCTTGGTGTTGTCGTCGATGAAGGGGTACACCATCTTCCACGCCGCCATGAACACGTAAGGCACGTGGATCAGGAACATCCGGCCCAGCCGCTCCGGGTAGTAGTTCTGCATGATCTCCAACGCCGCCAGCTTTGCCCGGATGTCGCAGTTCGCGTACCCCCACCCCTTCAGATCCACCACCGACGCAAACTTCTCCTGCCCCGCCGGCAACCTGACGAACACACATATAGACGGACACGTATATGTCAAGAATCCACTAATGACTATTGACTAGTAGGGTTACTTGCGCATTAAGTAAAGCTTCACATACTTGGTGCAGGTGCTGTCGAGGATGTAGACGACGTAGCGCTTGAACTCCTCGAGGTCGCGCTTGGCGGCGAAGTGCCGGTTGCCGAAGAGGTAGATCATGGGGCGGCCCGTCTTGTCGAAGCCCTGCACGTAGAGCTTGTCCTGCACGAGCTCGCCGCGCACCTCGGCCTCGGTGATGGATCCCCGCGGCTTGGCGGCGCGCTTCCATGCGAGGTACTTGAGGAACATCGCCGACGCCTTGCCGACGTTGTGGTCACGGGCGCGCAGGAACCGCCGCAGCATGAAGTCGTCCTCCTCCTGCACGCACGCATGTATGTGAGCGGTTGGTTGATCGACGGCAGGATGAAGGTCCACGTCGACGACGGTGCATGATTGAATGAACGGTTGATTGTATTGTGCAAAGAGAATTTGAAGGAGCAAGTGGCGTGGAGGTGGAGTCGACAGGCATCGATCACGAGGTGTCGGTGAGCATTTACGACGGACTTTTCTCAGCACGAGCTATCTGTGGGTCATGGGTGGTTCGATCGATCAAAGCTATGGATGGCCGGCCCCATTTCCACCCGTGCCAATAAATTCGGTCCCGCCAACGATGTGATGTGTGTGCCACCTATAGATTCTGTGCATACGCTTATTTCATGTATAGCAGTACACGTTTTCCACCCCCAAAAAGGATTATACTACGGTCTCCTGCTATACATGAAATATACGTATGCACAGAAAATGGCTCGGTCGGTGTGTCGAGTAAAACATGCATGTGTGCACGTACGTACGGTGCAAGAAGTTTTGCCGTTTCCGACATCGTGCTGTCCTCCTCCTTCTAGGGAGGAAGACCAGTAGTCCATTAGGCATAGTGGGTACGGACGGCGTGAGCACACGTCGTCGATCGTCGGTATGTAGCTCAGCTAGCTCAGGACTGATGGCGGCAGCTGGTCGATCCTGTGCTTTGCTGAGCCAACCAATCAGCCAACGGCCAACCACCCGTGGCCTGACCATTAACTGCCTATAGAAAAGAGGCTTATCGATGAACCACCCGTCCTAAATGAGATCGTATCACTGTCACAATCCATCATCAACGCCAAAAGCGACCAGTAACCACTCGCACGCACGCACGCAGCGACCACCTACTTGACCGGACGGGACGTGCATCAGACTAGCTATAATTCTGATTTGGTCCATGCTCTCTTGTATTTACCCGGTCGATCTCTACGCTCAGCTACGTGTCTCCTAATCTCAATACTTTCTAACGCTAGCTAATTAGAAACTTACCGTGAGCGACAATCTTGGGCAAGCTAATTATAGAGTATTCTATACTAAGCACGTGCAGTTATTGCCTATAGTTAAGTGCTTGGTGTTGAGCTGTCCTGATCTTCCATTTCTTTTTATTTTTTCTTTGTGCGGGGAGATCTCAGTTTGTGCCAGGTTGATTAGCATGAGATGAGGAAATGGAAGAACAGAGCAGAGAAAGTGTGACCTTTTTCTAGTTGATGAACAGTCAGACAGAGTGTGAGCTACCTACTTATGAGAGGGAGGAAATGAATGAGCTCGGCACAGAATATGCATGTGAGTTTGCTGCTACCACGGGAGACCAACCAACCAGTTAACCGAACCAAGAAGATCCATCACGTGAAGGGGATGAGCAGTGGGCGGTACCTTGGCTGCGGGGTCCTGCGCCTCCACCACGGCCCGGAGCTCCGCCACCATCTTCCACTCGGCCGGGTCGCCGCCGTCGCCGGCATGGCCGTTCTGCCTCGCCTGCTCCTCACCGCCGCAGTCCATGCCGCTTCCCCTCCTTCCTCAACCGACCGGCCGTCCTCGACTGATTGCCGCGACTCGAGGGAAACCGAACCACCAAGTACGTACTTGCCGACGGCCGCTGCTGGCTGGACACAGAGCGGCTCGCCCTGGAGGAAGGCTCTCGAATTTATTTATAGCGGGGAGGGAGGAGACGGGAGACTGCGGGAGCTCTAATGGACAGAGTATGAAGAGACGGGGAGGAGGGTGCGGCTTAGCTGTGCCAGGGCTGTCTCCTCCTCCGGGTGGAACGGGCTCGTCTACCGTGCTGAAGGCACGGCAGGGAGCTACAGTAGCCACGGAGTGGGAATCGCAGAAGGCACTGCAGGGCCCTATAGCACTATGTACTGTAGCGAATCCACTGTAGTAAATCTGTACTGTAGCGGGCACCCTGTAGCACCACACTGTTCATGAGTTCCTGTAGCGCGTAGTGGAAAATCACAGAGGCACTGCAGGCTACTGTAGCTCCCCTACCGTGCCTTCAGCACGGTAGACGAGCCGGTTCCCCTCTGGGTGGGGGTGGGGGTGAAGGCGGAGCTCATCAAAATTGACGCCAGGCGCGCAGAGTGCCGCGTCACCTCGACACGCCGACTATATTTATGGGGCGCGCGCGGTGTACTGGCGCCGAAACGGACGCGCAACCGCTCCCTTCAACCCCATCTCGTTGGATCCCCAATATGCAAAAATAAATAAATACAGGTATACTCTAGAAGCTATGGCTATGGCTAGAAAACGGTGCATACCATGTTTTGTTTTTGGCAAAAGAGACCGTGTTCCTAACTGGTCCCTGTCCAAGTAAACCACCAGATGGAACAGGATATCTGGCAAAAAAAAAAACAGGATCTTGCAACGCAGCTCTCACAAACGAAAATATTGGGTATGAACCCTGAGCGGGTGTCGCGTATGCCACACTTGACATGTACTCCCCTTGTATAGGGTATATCATAGGAATGTTGTAAAAGACCGTGTTTTTTGCTGTTTTCGGACTTGTTTCGTGTTGTAGCACAAAATATTTTTTGGGTACCACAGGGTGGGCGTGAAAATACTCTATTTTCGCCTTTTGGGCATGTTTTATTGGCTTTGGCGTTCCGAGTCTATTTCCAGATTCCGTGAACCCCAACCGGCAACAAGGCGGTTAATCTGTTGGAGCAACCAGAACTTCTAAAATGCTTGTTTTTTTTTTGTACATTAGTAGCCCTGTTGGTATTCTGCTGGAACTTTTAATTCCAATCAAGCGAGGGTTTTAAATTAAACAGCGCGCATGGTTGTCAAAAAATACGTTACTCTAACCTAAATTTTCTAGGTATATAATTAATGGGCTAGCATTCACGGTTGGACGTCAGCGAGCATATCACATATTCCAGCATATAATGTCTAAAAAAAACATATTCCAGCATACCACCATCGCACTCAAGTCAAGTACAAGTCACCAGAGTTTCAGCGCATATGGTTGGAATTCATTCTTAAAAATTCCTTGATGATGAGGTGTCAACACCTCACTCAGTCCTCGAACACGATCCTCTTTCCTGTGTGAAATAATAATTACTTGGATAAATTTCAAATTAGGGATCTGAAACATTTCACAGAAACAACAAGGGATTTAAATTGGAAATGCAGATAATTATGTCATGTGTGGCTAAGCACAAACAACTCTAGTTACTAAGGTCCACACAGATATACACTGAGTTTTCAATCTCAGGCTAACCATTTACCTATAGTTGCTCCTACCATGCTTGTTGATATTGTGATTCTCACCTATTCAAATACCACCCAAGTCACTTGAAGAATAAACACACAGAAGAACCGTAGCAGAATCCTGCTCTTAAGCCTTGACTACGAGAGTGTAAGACGGTACCTTTGTGCTACTACCTATCTTCTTTGAGCTTGTGGGGGACCAGTCCGAGGGCCACCAAAATGAGGAAATGTGCAATCAAGTAAAGGAACCCCTGGGTTTATTTAGACTAGCCACAATTGGTACCGTCTATGACTAGTAACACACGTATGTTACTAATCTATATTACTCCCTCCGATCCTATCTTCTCTGCATATAACGTCCATCACGCATACCAAGAGAAAGCTCGCTAATTTTTTTTAGACTAATTTGCCCCTGCTTTAGGGGCTGGATTGTTATTAATTCACTCGCAGCCGATTGGCTCTCCCGTGAGGTCGCCTTGATTCCCTCAACTGCCTCTCTCTCTCCACTCTGCATGGCCAACAGGAGAACGCAAGTACTAATTGCGAATGGTTGCATGCAGCAGCTTATTAGGGGCATAAGAGGAAAGTATCGGTGAGAGAGAGGAACGCGCAGAGTAAAACGAGAAAAAAAGGAAGAAAGTTATGCGCGGAGTATAAAGAATCGGAGGAAGTACTACCTCTATAGTAGGGAGTAAGGGCTTGTTTGGTTGCAATAAGTCACCTGACTTATAAGTCAGGTGACTTAAAACCAGTGACTTATAAGTCATGCCTGTTTGGTTGTCACCTGACTTATAAGTCACTTGACCACACCTTCCCAAACCAATCCACATTATGCAGGTGGTGGGACCCATGCAAAAGAGGGTGACTTATAAGTTTTAAGTTAGGGTGTAGCAACTTATGACTTATAAGTTGGGGTGACTTATAAGTTGGGTCTGTTTGGCAAAATAAGTCACTTTTTTCACTTTTCCACTTATAAGTTAGTGACTTATTTGGAACCAAACAGGTCCTAACATATGTATAGTAACATGCAACAATTCATTTATTAGACTATAAACATATCTTGCCTTGATATGTGTGATGTTACTCATACTAGTAGTAACTAGTAACTATGTTACCACTTTCATCTCTTTCTTCATTTATTGCATGCCACATTGTCTATTTAACCTAGATATGTGGGATGTTACTATCTATGTTACTCCCACTGTGGGTAGCCTTATGGTTAGCATAACATCAGCATAGGAATATCCACCGTAGATTTGGAGAAAAGGATGTCGTCCAGGAACATCCTTTGTATCACAATTCTGATAGGTTTTACTTATCAGAGCTTTCAGAGACTGTATCGGACATTCAAATTCACTCTATTTAAGCAAAACTGACCTAATTCAAATATTGTTTTGAAACGTGTTCGAATCTAGCTCAAAACGAATTAATTACAAACATTTCAGTATCTTCTCGTGGTCTCACCCTCTTGGGTCCTACATGGGTGGTAGTAGGCAATTTACTAGTAGTTGTGTAATTTACATGTGCTCAGCTTAAGCCAGTTAGCAGCCTGTTGAGCCTCCTTGAACATTTTCATCTCCTCGTGGTAGGCAGACTTGGCGGAGTAAGACCCTGTAGCCGCCCAGTTCCATGAGATGGAGTCAGGCACTTGGATGAGCTGAACCCGCTGAAGTTTGTTCCAAAGAGCGATGAAGGATTCGATCTCTTCAGAAGAGGTGATCCATTGTAGTCCCTTCATCCATTTATCCTCCGAGAGGGCAACCACAACCGTCAAGTTCTTTCTTATTGCCAACCTG